TCTTTCCCTGTTTGAGCGACAGAAGAAGGTCGAAGAGCCTACAAACCTGTTTGATTTTATGCTATTTCTGCCCTCTTTGTCCCAGCAGCATGCAGCACCGCAGGCTCCTACACGGCAACCAGGGGCTGGCACAACGAGGAGACGATCGACGTGGGAAAAGCCCAGGCCAGTGATAAAGGAGATCTTCACAGCTGTGCCCGTGAGAGGCCGGGCACGCCGGGCAACGGGCAGTTTTGCCTCACTGAAGCTAATTCCTTAGTACTGCAGCAACCTCATTGAGTAATCCTTCCCATAAACCGATGGTGCTCCGTGCTAGAAAGCAGGTGGGTTTCTTGCCAAGAGCGTCCTCCACACGAGGCTGTTTGCGACCCCCCATCCGCTGGCTCCCACGTGCGGTTCTTCAGTCTATCCCCATGTTTCTGGTTTGTTTGAAAAGTCCTTTTTCCCTCCAGGGGTGAGCAGAAGAGAAGTCAGACAGAAAATTATGAGTGCTTTAACATTGTCTTCTGTGCAGAAATCACATTTGCTCCTTTCATAAATCAGGCCATCTTATTAATACTGTTCTATTAATTCTGAACCGTATCTCTTGTCTTATACTGTGTTTTAATTGCAACCTGTCTGGGAACAGCAGGCATTTAAAATGAAATAAATCCAGCTAATTATTGCTCTCAGCTTTGCCCAGACGATGCCCGAGAGCTCACTGTTTCCCAGATCTGCAGTTTTATTGCTTTCTCCACTCTGTGACTGACCTGAATAAGGACCAGATCATGCTGCTCTTGGACTTGCTGGACCAAAATACGAGGGAGAGGATTTGCTTTAATGAGTTCTACACGGTGACATGCATCCTTCTGTCCCACGAGGTGTGTACCCTGTGGGTTCTGGAGTCGGTGCAGGGACATCTGCACCATCCAGTGCCCACGTAAAGGGAACTGGCTCACTGGAGCTGATCTTTACTCGGGGCGTCCAAGGGAGGGAGGGCGTCCCTGGGTCTGTGCTGCTGCGCAGATAAGGAAAGCAGGGAGATGAGCAGTCCCTGTTAACATCAACCTTGCCCCTCCGGGGTAAGTCCAGCCCTGAGGCGGTTGCCAGGTAGGAGCCATCTAAGCTCTGCTCCCAGCTCAGGCTGTCCATCTTGGCAAGGAGTTCTCTGAGAAACAAGCCCTTGGCTGTGGCTACCTGTAGGGAGGAGAGCAAAACATCTGTTTTCACCCATCGGTTCCTGCTAGCTTGTAGGTGCAGCATGTGCTGATGCCCTTCTCCAGCCCTCCCCGGCATTGCCCACAGCACGGGCTGGGGACAGACTGGTGCCTTTGCAGGGAACGGCAGCGAAGACAGCAGGCTGCGGCGAGGCAGGGGCATGTAAAGCCAGGCTTACCCCAGAGCCCAGCCCTGCTGCTGGACATGTCCTGCAGCTCCGCTCTGGATCAGGCACCCGGCTGAGCGCTCGGGGCTGCTGCCCACGCCACTCGGGGCGGAAGGAGAGGAGCCAGCCGAGGGACAGTCCTGCAAGTCGTTCGGCACATGGGAAAGGACCCCACAGAGCAGCCTTGCAGCTTGGCTGGCTGTCGGTAGCTGTCCCCGGCCAGCCCCAACCCAGCCGGCAACAGCCTCGTGCTGCCACGTGGCTCCGCGGCGGGAAGCACCAGGATTTTGGTATTTCCTGCGGGAGCGACTAGCAGGAGGTCACGTTTATTCTCTGGACGTGAGCACCGGTTGGTATTCCATGTATTCTTTCCAAGCAGGAAATCAGTGCTTATTGTCTGTTTCTAAACCTTTCTGCCGTGAAACAGAACCATCTTGAAAAGCAGTTCACCCACCGGCACGTGGGACCTGCCTTTCGACTGCTGGACGTAGATGGGGACGATATGATTTTGAAATGAGTTGGAAGCCACAAGGTTTCTCTTCAACATCCAGAAAGAAGAACTTAAGAATATATTCAAGGACTTTGATATAGCTGGAGATGAGGTAAAATTAGAGCAATCACAATCAAGAGAGGCCATCAAAATGCCCCTAAATTAAAAATTAAACCTTGGGATTAATTTTGCACTGCAGCCCACAGCCACTTCTCACTCAAGCAAGTTTTGCTGTTGGCTTCAGGAGCAAGTCTTTGATGACTTACTGCACAGTCTGAATTGAAAATGTTTTAGCAGTAAGATAGCAACAGGAAGAAATAATTTTTTGGGCGTAAACTGGGCATATTCCTCTGAGGAGACTCTAATGGGAGGAGGTGGGCAGGACTGGCAGAAGTACCTTTATTTAAGCCATTTTCTTTAGAGTTCGCTTGTGGCTTTTCATTATTCTCCAGGCTCTCTGCAGTCCATTCTCAGAGCTGTTGGCCAGGGCGTACCTCAGCAGGGTACACGCCGACTTGCTCCTGACTCCTTCTAGAAACATTACAAGTGCCGTCCGTTGGCTTCTGCCCGTGCCAAAAGCTGTCATGGAGATGCTGGTGCCAGACACAAGCCCCAAGGGAAGCTCTCTTTCTTTTATAGATCCTTCATTTTGACTTTAAACCAGCTCCAGATTCCAAGGAGAGGCCGTAGGGATCTCGCCCACCCCTGCAACCAGAAAGGGAAAAAAACCAGTACATCACTCGGCTCCAGCTCTGCATTTACACAGTCCGTGTGTGCACCCATCCCTTCCCAATTCGCTTTTGCCAGCAGCTCACCCGTGTCCCAGTCTGTCACCCGTGCTTTCAGATCCCTCCCTGCTCTGACATCCCTTGATCAATGCAGCTACACTGGCAGGGAATCCGTCCTGGATTCTCCAACAGACTGGAGACATCTCTTATCTCCGTCACCGCTTCACACCGTCCTCGTGACTTCAACGTCTCCGCATGCTCCAGCGGCATGGTTGAGCAAGACAGCCGCCAGTAACCGAGGGAGATCATTCTCTTTTTCTTCCTTTCTGCTGCTAGGTCCCTGGGGTTATTGTTTTTATTGATAATTCTCCTCCTCTGCGTTCCACCACCAGTGCCTTCAGTTGTTTGTTCCAGGCAGCTGGTCCATCTCTCCCGTAAGCCCTGCGGGGCTGGCAGCCCGTTTCCTGTGTTTAGCGGCGCAGCGAGGTACCAAAGCCTCCGTCCTGCTCGGGGCCTGCAGATAGATAGTTCTCCAGGGCTCTCGGCGTAGTTTCCCCGGAATAAGCTGTTGCATTGACCCCGTCCTTCCCTCTCGAGGCTGCCTGATGAAAAGGGCACTTTAAGCAGGAGCAGCACGGCTGTGATACAGCCCTGAAGGCACCCCGCTCCCCCCACCCACACCGTAACCCCGGCTGTTAGGAATCACTCCGACATCTGCAAGCCATTACACATGGTAGAGAAAGAGCCGTGTGCCAGGGAGGTGCCCTATTAGCCTGTAACATGTTCGGGACCAGCCCGAGGCCATCAGTTGAAACCAATTTCTCCCGAGTCAGTCAGGAAACGAGAGCGAGTTGGAGAAGGGGACCAGAGCCTGGACTCCGGGTCTTTCTCTGAAATAACTGTTTATATCGGGCGAGGTTGCCTTGCTAAGCTAGGGATTTGTCTCCTCTCAGAACTAGCAACTGAACTACAAGGAATTCAAGATGTTTGTTCTGTATTGACAAACAACAGCAAAAAGAGGACGGGGATCACGAACAGCCTCCCAGCAAGCTCCTAACAGCCTGAACAAGAACCCTTTCCCCAGCTGGGAATAACGCAGCCTCGCTTCTGCGTCCCCCCGGGCTCAGCTTACAACCGCCAGATAGATGTACCGAACTTGTAGAAAGTGAATAATGGAAGCGCTGCGGTTAAGCAATTGCCTGTTCCGTTTTCACCACTGCACGTTGCCACTGCTCTGCCAAGGCGAGCACCAGAGGCCGGCGCCTGAGGAGGAGGAAGGACTGATGCAACTTGGACTTCAGCCTCGCGCCTCACAACTCTCCCCAGGACTAAGCCCGGCATCGGCGTTTCCTTCCCCCACGTTGTGCGATAGGTGTGCCTTGGTATTTCAGAGACAACCCCTTCCAGTCCCCTACGTCACACACCGGTTTGACGGGAGTCTTCCTCCCCAGCGCGGCGGTTTTGCCGCGTTGAGGCGCACAGAGCAAGGCTGGTTTGAAACGGG